GCGCATTTATTAAGGCAAAAATTCTCATTCGTCACATAAATGACAACCCCGAGGACAGTAGGTCTTCTTTTGTTCATAGGTGATATCCTCACGGTAACAGAATCCGTTTGCGATATGAACAGGGCATCTGAAAGATCAAACTCTGCTCAAACGAACACTATTACGAAGATTTTTCCTTACTCTGGGCGATCCTCGCATTTTTTGAGATGTTTGGTATCATTTTGAGTGTCTCCTCCCCTGACTTGCGAAACTGTTCCGTTGGAGTCCTGCAAAAATAAAATAGTTTTGTTGGAGCTCTCAGAAGTTCGTAAAAAATCACTGAGTGGGTATTAGAGGCGGAACTATGAGAATAGGAATTGGACGAGAAGAACACAGAAGAAAACCTTTCTGCTGGTGGCTGTAGCGATGATGTTGCCAGCGACTATGACGATCAAAAACACGAATAGGGAGTTGGACGTCATCCTGAATAACGATCTTTTTTTTCGAAAACTTCTGAAAATGTGACTGCCGCTCCAGTTTATTGCGCGGTTGAGCGTGACTTCTTCGAATTGTGCTATAACTTTGTTACTCTCGTTAGTTTCAGAACAACTCTTCCCTGCGGTCCGAAAATTCCCCTCATACCGATGCGAGGTTTGACTGTACTGGAAGCTATAATTTGCGCAAGGAGACTCTCGATGTTGTGGAGTTCTAATGAGATAAAAGAGTAATGCAAGAGCGGTTTACGAGTCGTGAAGAACTCTAAAATGTGAGCATATTAGCCGAAGCCTCTTCCTTTTTATATGAGCTACATAATGATGGCCAATGACGCACAACATTTAGTCTGGAAAAGCTGGCAAAATATTTGCCTCCTCTCTCGTCTACCAGGTGGAACTATTTTCTAATGGTCTAATGATATAGCCAAGGACAGGGCCATACCATACCATTTGCTGTTCTAAGTGCGCAAAATGTCCAATTTTCACTCACAGTCTTGGTAAAGTTATTGTAGAATACCTAGTTATGATTCACCATTTGGCTTGCCCGGCTTCGGTAGATGAGAACAAGAGTTATTCATTCCTGGCCAAACATAAACACCCAACACAATTTGTGCGCGCCCGCCCGCCATGAACAAACCTCCTTAGGTTCTTCGTGTTTGAGTAACTCGATTAATTTCCGACTTATACAACCTTGGTTTCGAAATTTCGCTTTAGGTCTAGATTAACATTTGTTTTTGCCCACGCCACGCTTCATGGGAGCAGAGTTAGTCCTGCCGCCCAACATAGGTGCTCCCATCCTGTCACCTGTATTTCTAACGGATATGAGTGCTCCAGGCCCAAGTTTTAATTTTTCGCACAAACTTCGCACCATGTGGGTGGAGTCCGGTCTTGCGACCCACCGTCAGTGCTACTACCGTGCCACCTGCACATCCATCAAATTTGAGCGCTCCAGGTCCAAGGGAAGAGGAGATATTATTTTTCACTAACACCCCACCCACTGGCCCACTATGGGCGGAGTCCGGTCCTGCCGCCCAGCATGAGTGTTCCCATTGTGTCGCCTGCACTAATACCAAGTTTGAACGCTCTAGGTCCAAATTTGGGCTATTCACACAAGCTCCGCCCCTTGTGGGCATAGTTCATCATGGGCGTTCCCTTCCTGCAGCTTGTACTTCTACCAATTTTGAACGCTCTAGGTCTATAGCAACAGAATTTATGAGTCTTCACACGAACCCCGCCCCTTGTGGGCGGAGTCCGGTCTACTACCTACCATAACTGCCCCCATCCTGCCGCCTGTACTCCTATAGAATTTGAACTCTCTAGGTACATGGAGAGCAGTTATGAATTTCCGGTCAAACACATACACACACATACACACATATACACCACATATACGCACAGACAAACCAACAGACACACTTAGCGCGTTATATATAGTAGGATAGAAGTTACTAATTATAAGGCAGCTGAAGCGTCAGGGTCATACCTCTGCCACAATCTGTACGCTGCCCACTACAGTAGTACATCCAGCCGTTTTGAAGGTAAAGAAACTATAAAGATACTGGGTAACATCTTAGGTGGATATCCTTGTGCGGTAAAAACACCTGTTTTATTTCCACGAAAAACAGGTCTAATAACGCGAGATTGCTGAAAATCCAATTAAGGGGTGTGGTGCGTTAGAAACGAAATGGCCGCGTTGCGGTGAGAGGGGCGCCGCGCGCGAAGGAATGTGGCAGGATGCAGCAGTAGGTAAGAAACACAAGAACAAAAGTACTAATAGTAGAATTATGCACAAAATAATGATCGCATATCGATTGAGCTGTATGAAGAATGCTACAGCTGTAATAACGGCGAATGGGTGGTCCGCGACAGCCGCGTGCGGCGAATCGATTACCCAAAATCGTTTCTAACGCCCGTCTCCCCTAATTAAGTCACAAAATGGGCTTCTATTGTAAATTTGGCTGCTTTCAACTTCCTGAAATGTGTCCCGTGAGAGCGCCTACTACCTTTCACGAAAGGTCTCGTCATCCTCACATCAAAGCAAATAAATTGCTTAATAGAAATGAAGATTTCTCGTGATGATTGTGAGCTAGTTCTGACATATTCGACTACACCACATAATGCAACAGCTTCCGTATGATAAAAGTATTTGCAGTTCTTCTCAGTGTTTTCTGAGGAGAGCAGCTGCAACCACGGAACATTTAATCGGCATCCATAAAGTCATTCAAAACGTTCTAATGGGCCAACGAGGAAGTTGTCCTAGCCTCACCAGACCAAATACTGTGCGGCACTGGTGTCCATGTACATATGTAACTCCTATAAAAGTGGAAAAAACCTCTCTCTGCGTGCTCTCACTTCAGATTCCCTGACGAATCATGAAGGTTTTTTGGTGAAAATGTAGTTTGGGGGAGCACCTACCACAATCTCTCTCACTTATAAAGCAGTAACTTGGTGTGTCGGTTTGTAGGTTTGTGTGTTTGTCGGTGTGTCTGTCTGTCCGTCCGCAAGAATATGA